TTAAAATATTAATTACAAATATGATCCTAATAATACAATGTTGACACATTTTATAAATACTGCAATGCCAGTGAATGATATTTGCAGTTATTACTAGGTGATGCTGATCCTACTTTTACTATTATATTTTTCCATATGCTTCACTGTAACCTTGTACTTAGTTTTATGAGCCTAAAAAAATAAAAAGCTCTAGCTAAAGAAATGGTAGCAGATTGATTTACAGCCCTTGCATATTATAAAAGCAGTTTTGTGGTCTTGTAATTTGCTTACAGAGTTTTTTTTTCTTGATTTTGAGTCACAGAGAGAGGAAGAAGAATAGAAAGAGGGAGATCTTGTACCATTAGTTCACTCTGCAGATGGACAAGAGCTTCACGGGGTCCTCCATGTGGATGCAGGAGCCCAAATGTCCAGGCCCTTTTCCCAGGTTATTGGCAGGGAGGGAGCTGAATTGGAAGGGAGCAGCCAGGACACAAACCAGCACCTGTATGAGATGCCAACGTCACAGGCAGTGAATGAACTCACTGTACCACATCAGCCCAACTCCTATAATTTTTAAAAAGTATTTTCTCCTTCAATCTCCTGCAGCAAATCGAAAGCCCTCGACAATGAGAAAAGTTCCCAATGGGCTCTAGGAACTTAGACAGTGAGGGCTCTCGGGACATACCAAGGACACATCCAACACAGAGACGAGTAGTCCTCTGCCTGTTCCCATGAATATGACATTGCAGACCAATGTCAGTCATATCTGAGACACAGAGGGCCTCAGGTAACATAATGCGCCCAGAAAATGTCTGCCACCCTGACAGGTGCAAACAACCCCACCAGCTAAATATAAATTGACTGAGGCAGTTTGCAAGCTGTCTTTCTCAGTTTCTATTCTGATCAAGCAGAAGAATGTTCTCTTCTTCAGTTGTGACTTCTGATGTCTGTTGTTTTTATTTAGATTCACCTTCTAATAATTTTCATTCAAGGGGAAGCAACAGTAGATTTTAAAGCAATGCTAGAAATTTTTTTCAAAAGTCTTTCAAAACCTTGGATGACTTTACCAGCTTGGTATGGACTCCTTGAAATACACTAAATGGAAAAGGTCAAACAGTATTTTCTAGAACTCTCTGGGTGAGCAAGAACAGGCACATAGCCTATAATGTGTGTAAAAAGGAGCACTGTTTAATATTAAACCAGAAAGGGAGGCTAAGTTTTAATCAGCAGAGTAGAAATTCTTTGAGCAATATGTGGAATGTGGCACCTGTGCCAGTTTCTGTCCTGTTGTCCCCCATCCCTCTCAGTTCTAACGCCTGTCCCCAACAGGTCTCTGCTATTCCCTGCTCTCTGTCTATCCCCTCTGCCAAGCACACACACACACACACACACACACACCACACACCCATATCTTCCACACAGTATTCATGAGTCTGAGTGTCTCACTGGGAAGAATATAGCTGATTCATTTCTGCATTATTAGCATCCACGCTCATGCCAGTTACGCAATAATATGTTGTGAATGAGTGAACAAAAGGGGACTAAAAGAGTCACAGACGAAGCTAAGTATGAGGAGGAAAGACAGTGCTGCCACTGATGATGTCATAAAAAAGTTACAGAAAAATGAAAATGTGCTGTGCTTTGCCACTACCAAGTGCTTTGGCTTATAGAGAGCAATGTTAATAAATGAAATTAAGGCAAAAATTTAGTGCCAGAGGTTATTAAAAGGAACTTGATGTGCATTGATTAAGGGGTTCAAGTTTTCCATTTTCATTTTCCTTCTTTGTTGTCATAAAATGACAGTGGAAGGTGCAATTGGGTGGCGGGGCTGTGCCAGCTCTGAAGGTCTGGGCTGGGGACCGCTGTGTCTCCTTCTGTGACACTTACCCGGCCCTCACACGCCAGCTCTATTCTGATCACAAAGGAGACTGTGCACTTCTCCAACTCATAACTACCAACACTGCGGCACACCACAACTAAGTTTAGTTCCGCTCTCAGTCTGAAATAGTCGCCTAAACCACAGGGGAAACTATTACCCATGCTTTCCTAGATCTATGGAAGAAAGAGGCTCCCAGACCCTAATGCTGTGAAGTTGTACTTCCTTGTCCCAGATGACTTCCCCCAAGTTAGTGCAGATCACCCTTTTGCCTGCAAACATTTTGCAAGACCTGTTGGCTCTCAATCTTTGCCCACTTCGCTAGCCGGCTCACTACACCCAAGAAACCTGGCCAGCACTTGACTTAATAAATCTTCAGCCTACTCATCTGTTAATAGAAAGGGGAGGGGGGAGGTTAAAGCTGGCACAGGGAACAGTGCAAAGAAACTCAATTTGCCAACCGCCTACCAGTAGCGGATTTCACAGGTGGTCCTTTATCAGACTTGCCCATCAGAAGAAAGGCAAGAGGGTTAATGATCAACCATTGCCCTGCAGATGGGGAGACTGTGCCTGGGGAAGCAAGCTCTTGACAGCCTTGAAAGCTTATGCTGGATTGCTGTAATGGATCAGAGCTTTAGTCTGACATTCCTAATAATTGCAAACCACTCCGTACTCCTTACCATAGACATCCTGTAGTGCCATTTTCAACAGAGGGAACTCCCATGTCACTAAAGATATTCCAGGAAAAGAACTGACCTTGACTTTGAGCTTATCACCCATTCTGCATTGTTAGCATTACTACTAAAGAGCATGCCCTTTCTTTAAATGAAAGGATAGCAACAGAAGATGATAGGATGTATTTTTTAATGTCTTATCTCAACAGGGTCAGTTAAATTAAGGGGCCACAGTGGAGACCCTCTACACTTCCACTCTATACATTATACTTCCTTGGCATGGTTAGAAGTTAGCAATATTCCATGAATTTCAAATAGTCTTCCTATTATTGTACAGGCCATCAAAACTAGGAAACTGGGAGCGTTAGCCCGAAGGAAGACAGCTATGATCAACACAGTGGATATCCTGTTAGAGGAAGAAGCTCTAGCTCCAATTCTACTAAGACCATCTCTGCAGACCTCATGGTGTGCTACAGAGGTCCTGGGGACCCTGTAAGATCTAGGTATTTATTGTAACAGATTCAGATCAGGTCATGTCTCTAGACATACTCACCAGGAGCAGCGTGTGTCAGTGGGCTAAGTCGCTCCTGGGGACACCGGCATCGTTTGTTGGGGTGCTCGGTTCCAGTACAGGCTATTCCCCTCTTCCAATCCAGCTTCCTACTAATGTGATGAGAGGAAGCAAATGATGGCTCGAGTACTTGGGACCCTGACACCCAAGAACAGGAGAGATCTGGGTGGAGTTCCTGGCTCTTCCTGACTGTGGCTGAACCTAACTCACGGCTGCTGTGGGTTTTTAGAGATCTCCGTATGCCTAATTCAATTGTTCTTTTTGTCGCCCTGTCTTTCAAGTTAAAAAAAAAATTTTAATGACATCCTTGCATAGATTTCTCAAAATATGCATTTGTACGAATTTCAGGAAGATTACTCCTATGCATGGATTTCAAAACTTTCTGCAGCAAAAGAAACTAACCTTTTGGTTGTAGTTTCCAGCAACTTTTTGAAGCTCCCCTCCCCTGTCAGTAACACCAGGGTAATCTGGGTATATGGGTGATAGTTTTCCACCCTGCGACCATCTTCAATGCAATTTGCCCTCATCCTTTCTAGCAACACTTTGAGACCACGGTAGGCACAAGGCAAGGCCCAGCGCCTGCTTCGCACCTTGAGGATATGAGGCATTCCCTGTGAAACGGAAAGGAGCTGGCCGGATGATCTTTCTCTGGGCCCCTCCAGGCTCTGCACATGTCACCTGGGAGCTCCGTGGCTAAAGTGTCCGATGAAGGCGGGGCAGCAGGAGTGTCACTGCAGCGCCTGCCAAGTGCACAGAGCGCCAGTGTTTGGCCACCACTTGGCCAGGCCAGGGGAACTTTGCAAGACGCCCTCGTCCTGGCGCTGTCACCAGACGCATGCGGGAAACTGTCCCTGCTGCTGCCCTGGCGTCAGGCCCCGGGCACCCCATCACCCCTTCGCTGCTCCTGGACACCAGCCCTATCACTCCGGGCACGCTGCCGATCACGTGGCGGAGCGCTGCTTTCTCCCCGGGTGGCGGCTATTGGTCAGAGGTTCGCGTCCCGGGCGAGCCTATTGGCTGCGGGGCGCGTTCACGTGAAAGGGGGTCTGGGATGGAACCTCGAGTGGCGAGAGGTGACCATAAAGTTAAATGGGGGCAGCACAGCTGCAGGAACGCAAGTCCTGCGTGACCCGGCCGGAGAGAGGAGGCGAACCGAGTCACTCGCGCGCACGAGCGCGGCGGCTGCCCGCCGAAGGCGCGGACCTGAACCCCAGCCTCCGCACCGCAGCTCCCGCTGTCCTCCCTCCCCGCCCCGTGCGGCTTCCCTGGGGACTTAGAAGCTGTCAAGGTACGAACCTCCCACCTCCGCCTCCCGCCCCTCCCCCGGGTGCTGGGGCACTCTATCCGGACTCTACGAGGAGAGTTAGGGACCACTGCGCCAGGACAGCGCCCTGCCCGACCCACGTGTTGCACTGCGCTGCGGGGCCCGCCGCAAGGGGTGACCCTGGGGCTCCCAGGGCTGCGACCGCAGCAGGTACCCTTGCCCCGTGCAAGTTTCAAGCCTGGACCAGAACTCAGCTGGAGGACTTGTACCAGAAACCGGCGCAGTTTCTCTGTAAAGTAAGAAATACGCAAGAAAGCTGTCCTGCACCCAAACTTGCGTTCACTTGTCCCAAGTCCTTCCCCTCGTGGGTTCGGACCACTCTTTGTCCGCACTGCACAGAAGGGATCGTACTTAGCGGTCTCTTGGGTCGTCGCGAGGGCGATGGGACAGGCGCTGTGCCCGCTCGGGGGTGCTCGTGCCCTGCGCCACGCAGCTCCGCTCGGATCCCCAGCCGCCCCGCCCGGCCCCGCCCCACCCCGGTGAGATAAGTTGGGTTCCTCCTCCTCCTCGTCGTCCTCTCCCTCCCCCTGCCGGTCACTTCTCCGGGAACCCAGCCCAGGCCCTGCCTCCCGGACACGGCGACGCTCACGTACCGGGTGGCTGGCGGCAGCCACCGCGGCCACTTCCCTCGGGGCTCTCTCGGATGCAGCCAGCGACCTGGGGAAGGGGCTTCTCTGAGGCCCGAAAGGTGGGTGCAGTAGGAGCTGAAGGAGGTGCCGGGATAGGCTGGGGACCCGTTGGAGCCCACCAGACGGTCCTGAAGAGGCTTGGCAGGGGCAGGATTGAAGAGGGGCCTCTGGGATTCCTTCAGCCTGGTCCCACTATGAAACTCCGAGAAGGGGGCTGTGGAAAGTCTGTCGCTGCGAAAAGTGGGAGTGGAGCTGGGAGGGCGGGAGAGGGGAGAAGCTAGGGTCTGCACGGTGTTCCCTGGAGTGGAGGAGAACTATGCGGGGGCAGGACCGGCCGCGGGGGCATGCAGAGTTGCCGTGAGGTGCTGAAGCAGGGTGGCGGTTGTGTGTGTGTGGCCAGCCTCCCTCGGTGGGGACTCAGGGTCAGGGAGAAGCACGGCTTGGGCTGGGGGGAGGGGGAGGAGAGAAGGAAGTGGTTCATTTGGCATAAGTGCTGGAGCCAAGGCTGAAGTGAAGACAGCTGGAGGGCTGAACCTAAAAGTCAGGTTGAGGAATTTAGGAAGAGGCCAGGAAGAAGAGGACGGTAAGGCAGTGGGTGGCAACCCAGAAGGGATCTGGGAGCCATGGAGTGGCTTGTCCTGGCTGCACAGCTGGGTGGAGGCATTGTGAGCCCAGGGTGCTTGTTTGCTGACTCTCTCCCTTTTTGCGATTTTTGGATGGCCAGAGCTGTTCCTAACTTACCTGGGACAGGCAGCTGCATTCCCAAAAACTTACCTGCACCACACTCTGTGCGATGGTGACAGGATAAAGGTACACAAGTAGCTGAAGACTGGGGTGTGAGGGCCCCTGTAGTCTGGAGACAAAAGGAAAAGATATGCAATTGATGTGTGTGTGTGTGTGTGTGTGTGTGTGTGTGTGTGTGTGTGTGCTGCATCAGCCAGACCTCTGGGGGAGAACTAGATGGGAGTTGGTGAGCAAAAGGCAGTGTCTTTACTTATGACCTGCCCGTGGATGCTTTCCTAATGTGGTCTGATGTTTCTGTGTTTTTTGCTGGAGAAAAGTTGTTCAGGCATCTGACTTTTCTTACCAAAAAAGAACCAGAGAGAGAGAGAGAGAGACAGGAAGGCAAAATGTCTTGGCCCCAATACAAGAAATATTTGCTTCCTATTAAAGGCACGGTTGGAGCAGCCTGTAGCTCAGCTGCCTCAAACTTTGAGCAATGGTCACAGCGTTACTTTCTGTATGGATCTATAGTTTCCATAAGAAAAGGCAGCCAGATGTCTACCCCCATGGCCACAGGCCTTAGGAAGGCGGTGACAGGTCACCGGCAGCATGGGCCTCTCAGCAATCACAGCATGTATAGGGTCTAGGTTATGAACCCCAAAGTCTACCCTGGGGCAACATTGACCTCTGGGGGGTCTACATGGGAGTACAGTGGCTGAGGACCCAGTGTGAGTGCAGCAGAAAATAACTCCTGGTGCTCTCTTGTTCCTGTCCTAAGACTGCTGTTCGGATGTCATGTCCAACCCTGAGGGTCAAACATGCCAGTCCCCAACCCCTCACTGATGGCAGTGATTCCTAGTCCACAGCCTGGCAGAGGGGAAGAGATAGAGCAACCAGAGAACATGTCAGGAGAGGAGGCCTCCAGCCCAGCCTGACACTCAATCATCTTCATGCCATCTGCAACTGAAGCAGCTGCCCAGGTGCCTTCCTTTTAGGAACTCAAAATAAATAAACAAAAAGGATTGCTTTGTAGGTCTCAGCCACTAAGGGGTCCTTCTGGGTGTTAGTCATCTCTGCCACGGTCCCCTGCAGTATTCCTGGGTAGACAGTCAGGAGGTGCCACACCACCCAGGCACCCAGGTGCACTGATCCTTGGGGTATGCTCAGTAGAGTCCAGCATGATAGGCAAGGTGACTGACAGTCCCGGCATGCCCCAGACTGAGGCCATAGGGGCTAAGGTCCTCGCCAGATACTGTGGTGACACACAGAACAAATGTGCCAGCCAGCACTGCTTGTGCAACGACCCTGGGGCAGTTGTGTCCTTGCTGAACTCATGGGACATTCATAACCTTTTTTTGGTGTTCATGAAGAATGTCACAAAAACCATTTGGCTCTTGAAAGTGCAAGTGGAATGATGTAAATTAGCTCTGATTCTTACTAGAATCTACCTTGGCATCCTAAGTTCCGCTTGTTCTCGTGGCTTGATAAGGAAAGGGATCTTGGGGGTGAAATAGCTAGGACCAACCAGTGAACTTGACCAAAGTCTTTCACTAGGTCTCCAGGCCCTGTGGGATGCGAGGGTGGGAGCGTGGCTTCAGTCGCCTGGCAGGTGTGCCATTCTTGGGTTGACTGTGTTTGCTTTAGGATCGTTTCTACTACATCCCGAGACTTTCCCATCCTGTTTTCACATATGCTATTTTAAAGGTGTGCAGGAAAGCACCTTAAGAGTCTGGTTTGCAGGTTTGCTGAAGAGACAGAAACTTGGGCTAACCTTGTGCTGACCCAGACCAGGAGGAAGCACCAAGGGGAACTCCTCCTCCGTTGGTCCACAGCCAGGATTGCCAAAGTAGATAGGTGCTGAGGGGCAAGGCACAGGGCTCTTGGTCTGTTGGTTGGTTTTCATCCATATTTTAAAGACAACAGACACACAAAATGGCTGTATTAAAAGTAGAGCCATAGTTAGAATTCCAACAGATTCTAATGTAAACTTCTGTGACAGAAAGAAACAACTGAAATTCAATACTTTGTGGGATTTGACATTGAACCCCTATAGTCAACGCACTGATCCCTATGAAGCTTGCCCAATTCAGTTACAAATCTCCTTTCCAGAACAATTGCATGGATGGGAATAGATCACAGCAAACAGATCAACTTTGTCAGAGGAGAAACAATAAGACAAGTCTCCTCTAAAATAACTGCATTGTGGCCAGAGATTACTGTTTTGTTTGTATGTTTCTTCAACTGGGCATCGCTAAATACTTCTTAGGGACATAATCGTACTTGTTGGGAAAAGAAAAATCAGATCGTATGTCTTTGCCCTTTCTTATTTTCTTTAAATATTTGGTTATTCAAAATCAGAGGCTGAAAGCAAATGATCATTAGGCTGCACCAGTGGTTCCCAGCTCTTGTTGAAAGTTGAGTAACATTTTGCCTGTCACCTCTTGGAGGTGGCAGTGGTGGCCCGAGGAGATTGGCCCACACACCAGACTCAGAGCCTGTGAGTGTCCCGGTATTCTCCAACTTGAGCTTTTAACCAAGTCTTCACTGCTAACTTCTTCAATTTAGTCCCTTGTAACTGGTGATTAAGCATTCTAAGAAGTGCTGGGCTTTCATGAAGCAATCGCTTCAGGATGTGCTGGGCACATCTTAAAATATTTGAGATTTTTTTTCCTCCAGTTTGTTATTTTTAATCTTTTTTCCCCCTGATTACGGAAGCAATGTTATCTTAGAAGATGTAAGGACACACACAGCAAGAACACAAGCATTTTCTGGCATCTTGTCACGTGGCTGGCTATTCTGACAGTTTGCTCTACAGCGTGCCACCATTCTCCAGCGTAAGGAGGGTATGGCCAAAGACCCTAGTAGATGCCTGAAATCATGGGTAGCACCCAAATGAACAGATTCTGGGTTTTTACCTACAAGTGTTCCAGCTTTACCACAATTGTGCTAGGCAGAGTGCATCCCCCATGGTGAATGCCTGGAGCCGCTGGCTGGAGCACTAGGGTCATTAGGAAGTAAAATCAGGGTTATTTGACTACAAGCAGTGTGATACCATGACAACCAATCTGATAAGTGGAACAGCTGGGAAATGACTAACATGTTAGATAAAGCGATGAGCACATCCAAGGTGGGAAGGTTTGGAATAGTCTGAGATTTCCCCTGGCCACTCAGACAAAACTACAAATTGTTCATTTCTTGAATGTTGGATTTAGTGCTTTGGGGCTGCAGTTGATGGTAGACAACTGAGAGCAGAAAGAATGGAACCGTGGACAAAAGGGGGACCGGTGTGGCTCTACTTTTTTCCTGAGCATCTACACAATATTTTTTTCCATCAAATCTGGTCTTAGTACAATTTTATCTGCTATATTTTTCACATGAATGCTATGTCTTAATTTTTTTCTTGCCATGTAAATGTTTTTGCAAATAATGGTTTTAATGATGATATAAAATTAAAGTATCTGGCTATAATACAATTTATTTTTAAAAGTATCTGTGCTTGGTCAGTGAGGCTATTGTCTCTTTCCCCCCTCTATATAATATTGCATTGAACATTTTAATATGGTAATCTCCATGCGTTTCAAAATATTTGCTTAAGATGTGATATTGGTCAAAAAGTAGTAAAAACATTTGCAAAGTCTGTGCCAGTTACGTGTAATAAGTATATTTCTATTAAATTTTGGACTTATTTTCTGATTCAGTAGATAAAAAGTAGCATGATTCCTACTCTGAATTTCTTAATAACCAAATTAGATATTTTTCAGGTTTACAGGTCACTTTCAGAGTTTAATTTCTGAATATTTCTATTCATGTTGACTGCTCATATTTCTATGAAGAGTATTTGACATTTTTATTGCTTTGTAAAAACTTTTTATATTAAGGGTTTCACTATGCTGTCATATTTTTTGCTTGAATGTTCATTTATTTATTTCCATTTTATTGGAAAGGCAGAGAAACAGAGAGTGCATCTATCCACTGCTCTCCAAATGTCTGCAACAGCCAGGTCTGGGCCGGGTGGAATCCAGGAGCCTGGAACTCAACCTGGGCCTCCCATGAGGGTAGCAGGAACCCAGGCACTTAATCCATGCCTGCTGCCTCCAGGGTGTTGATCAGCAGGAAGCTGGGATTGAAAGTGGAATAGCTAAGACTCTGATATGGGAAGGGTGAGCTGTGGCATGCATCTGCTCCATTCGTTAAGGTTTTTGTAGACTATTTTTCCAGTTTATTGTTAATCTTTTTGTTTGTTTTACTGATTTTGTTTTCACTTGGAGGAAAATATATTATTTGGGGTTTTTCATAGAGAATATTTTCACCTATAGAAGGGAGAAATTCTCAGCTTTATGTATTATTTTAAAAGATTTGTTTGGGCCCGACAGTAGCCTAATGGCTAAAGTCACAACCTTGAGCGTGCTAGGATCCCAAATGGGTACCAGTTCCTGCCCTGCTTCCCATCTAGCTCCATGCTTGTGGCTTGGGAAAGCAGTCAAAGACAGCCCAATACCTTGGGACCCTGCACCCATACGGGAGACCCAGAAGAAACTCCAGGCTCCTCCTGGCTTTGGATTGGTGCAGCTCCAGCCATTGCAGCCACTTGCAGAGTGAATCATTGGATGGAACATCTTCCTCTCTCTCTCCTCTTCTCTGTATACCTGACTTTCTAGTTTAAAAAAAAAATGTTTATTTTAATTTGAAAGGCAGTTGCAGAGAGAAGGAAAGAGAGAGAATTTTCTACCCACTGTTTCACTCCCCAAATAGCTGCAAAGACCAGAGCTGAGCCACAGTGCAGTGTCACTTCAGCCTACTAAAATGGTTATTATCAAGAAGACGGACAATAGCAAGTGTTGATGAGGGTGTGGAGAAAAGAGAAACTGTTGGTGGGAATGTAAATTAGTATGGTAATTATGGAAACCAGTATGGAAGGTTCTAAAAAAAAAATTAAAAAATAGAATCGCTATGTGATCCAGCAACCCCAGGACTGGGTAGAGTGGAAAGGTCTTTGACATGAGTCTGTCCAAGAGAGAGGGCTGCACTCACGTCCAAGTTTACTATAGCTTTGTTTGCAGAAACTGAAACAGGAAATCAACTTAAATGTCCAGCAACAGGCGAATAAAGGAAACATAATATACACACAGAACGGGATGCTGCTCAGCCTTCAGGAAACCCTGTGACAGCGTGAATACACGTAGAGGACCCTGTTCAGATGCCAGTCCTCGGGGTGTAGGTCTGCCAGCTGGCGACGAGGTCACTGAGGGCGAGGCAACAGTTTTCTCCAGCTGTAAGAACCACCAGGGACAAGCTGGTGAGGAGTGTCCATTTATTCAGTCCAAGTTCCAGATTTATAAAGGTTTAAGAAAAAGGAGGGGAAGAGAGCATTTTTTTAGGTAGTCCCTTCACCCGATAATGACAGTGTGATTGGATAAAAAGCATGTCTAATTCTGTTAACCTTCCATTCACGTCAGGGGTCAAGTTCTGCACACAGGGTTGGAAGTCACACCTTACGCCAGGGCAGATAAGCTCTAGGTCATGCCCACTGAGTAACAGGCAGAGACCCAGGGGTGATTTCCCACATATGTGAAGTGCTTGAAGCCAAGCACAAACACACACACACACACACACACACACATTGTATACTGGAAGATTATCAAAAGAATAGGTTTTAAGTGTTTTCTCAACGAAAAAGTATGTGCCAAATGAGATTAAAAAGACATTTGCTTCTGTTATGGGGTGCAGCCAGTGATAGCCAATGGGCAAATGAAATGTGGCTGTGTCCCCTACCCTCTGTCCTGAAGGTGGGTCCTAACAGCAATGGAATATTAATTCTATCCTCAGCCACGTCCCCCTGCCCACCTGTGACTCACCTGTCATCTGAGAGGGGACGGTATTGCATTGTTGTATAACCACCCCCCTCATAACTCCCTCTAAAAGGCCTGTGAAGCAGAAGCTTGCTCTCTTTCTGGTTAGGTACTTCCATTGCTCTGGCACCTCAACTCTTGGCTGACCCAGGACAGGTAATTCCCTGAGCATGATCCCTGTGTCCTGCTTAGATGGGACAATGGATATAGCAATATCTGATTTATGTAGGTACATGTGTATCAGGAGTTCCAGGAGAGGTGAGGCCTAGCAGTGATGGAATGTGGGCAGAGAAGTCAGGGAAAGGTGAATGTCTGCAGTTTTGTAAGTGTGTCCAGGTTATTCATTGCATGTCTCTTAGGATAACTTATGTTTGGGGGGAAGCTGGGATGTAGGTCTTCAGCTTAACAAAAGGACTTGAGGGTAATGACCATTTGTTCCTCTTGGGGTTATGATTGGTTGGATTATGATTGGTTGGATTATGTTTGGTTGGATTATGATTGGTTGGATTATGATTGGTTGGGTTGCCATATGGACTTGTGATTTGCTAGTTCTAGTATGCTCTATTATCACCAAGCTTGGTTAATAAAGACTCCTTAATAAACCTTAAACATGTCTGGTGTGATCTCGCTTGCACCCCGCAACACTTCAGCATGTGTAAAAACTGAAAGCTATGACGAGCTGTTTCATAATATGCATTGCCATGAACTTTTTCAAGATTCCATATAGGACTAAAATAGATTTGTATTTTCATTCAATTTTTTGGCAAGCTTTTTTAAAAAAAGATTTATTTTCTTTTTATTGGAAAGGCAGATATACAGAGAGTAAGAGAGACAGAGAGAAAGATCTTCTGTCCAATGATTCTCTTCCCAAGCAGCTGCAATAGCTGGAGCTAGCCAATCCGAAGCTAGAAGCCAGGAAGCCAGGAGCTTCTTCCGGGTCTCCCACAAGGGCGCAGGGTCCCAAAGCTTTGGGCCGTCCTCAACTGCTTTCCCAGGCCACAGGCAGGGAGCTGGATGGGAAGCTGGACTGCCGGGATTAGAACTGATGCCCATATGAGATCCCAGCACGTGTAAGGCGCGGACTTTATCCACTACGCTATCACATCAGGCTCTTGGCAAGCTTTTTGAAGTGCTGCCACAGGTGAGGTAATTGCATGTCAAATGCCTTCATTAGCTGGGTCAAAATGTATACCTTTCCCAAAACATCATGTTATACACCATAAATAAATAAGTAAAATGTATTATTATTATTATTATTGTTGTTGTTGTTATTTGAAAGACAATGAGAGAGTGAATCAGTTCCCTAGTGTCCGGGTTTGGGCCAGACCCAAAACCAGGAGCCATGATTGTGATCCAACTCTCCCACGTTGAAATAAATACTTGAGCCATCAGTTCCACAGGTGGCAGAAGGTAGATTCAGAAGCCAAGCTGAGGGCCCGGCGAGATGCCTGGTGGCTAAATCCTCGCCTCGCAACTGCCAGGATCCCATGTGGGTGACAGTTCATGTGTGCTAAGTAGACTGTTCCGGGAGAGCTATTTGCACTCCTCATGCCACACACACACAGAGGAATTCTTTAGCGAAGGAAGTTTGGAAAACTCCACAAACACGATCTTCTCTGGCATGTTAACATATGTAAGATCTCCAGAAATCCTAATAGGAAAATCCCAGGAACTTAGTTTTAAAACTAGTGCGTTGCATGCTTTTGTTGTTGTTTGTCTTGACCTTGCACTTCTCCCAGCCCCTGCATGTTCCCTGGAAGCAGTGTGGGTGCTGGACCATATGGGAGTGAGGACTGTCTCCTCTCTCCTGTCTTTTGTCTCTCCTGTCTCTTGTCTGCCTCTCTCTCTCCCCTGGCCCTCCCATCAGAGCCAGCTTTGGCTGGAAAGATGAGTTGAACCATCTGTCTGATCTCTCACTTGTTTCCTTTCTTTGCCCCATTACCAGGGTTCGGGTCTCATCTGCCAACCCCGCTATGGCTGTGGACATTGAATACAGGTACAACTGCATGGCTCCCTCCTTGCGCCGAGAGCGCTTCGCCTTCAAGATCTCGCCACAACCCAGCAAGCCTCTGAGGCCGTGCATCCAGCTGGCCAGCAAGAAAGAAGCCAGCGGCACGGTGGCCCCGGCTGTGCAGAACAAGGTGAAAAAACGGGTGTCCTTCGCGGACAAGCAAGGGTTGGCCCTGACAATGGTTAAAGTGTTCTCCGAATTTGATGACCCGTTAGATATTCCCTTTAACATCGCCGATCTTCTGGACGAGGTCGTGAGTCTGACGACAGCCGAGAGCGACAGCTTTGTGTTGGACTTCACCCAGCCGTCTGCGGATTACCTCGACTTTAGAAACCGACTCCAGGCCAACCAGGTGTGCCTGGAGAACTGCGTGCTGAAGGACAGAGCCATCGCGGGCACAGTCAAAGTGCAGAACCTCGCCTTCGAGAAGGTGGTAAAAGTCAGGATGACGTTTGACACGTGGAAGAGCTTCACAGACTTCCCCTGTCACTATGTCAAGGACACCTACGCTGGCTCGGACAGGGACACCTTCTCCTTCGACATCAGCTTGCCTGAGAAAATCCAGTCCTATGAGAGGATGGAGTTTGCTGTGTGCTACGAGTGCAATGGCCAAGTATATTGGGACAGCAACAAAGGCAAGAACTATAGGATCATCCGGGCTGAACTAAAATCTGCTCAGGGACCCTGCGAGCCACAGAATGGACCGGACTTTGGGATAGCTTTTGACCAGTTTGGAAGCCCTCGGTGTTCCTATGGGCTGTTCCCGGAGTGGCCTAGTTATCTAGGATATGAAAAGCTAGGACCCTACTACTAACGAGGTTGGTGATGGAGCCCAGCTGTGGTCAAGGTGAAATGGAGATAGAGACCAAAAGAAGCACCTCGTGGAACTGCCATTTAGGCATGGTTTTGCAAAGAAAGGATCCTGTTCACTCTTTTTCTTGAGCTAGCAATTCCAGCCAAGTTTAGATCAGGGAACCGGTTTTGCACCCAGAGAAGACAGCGTGCTGGTCCCGTGTGGCACCCACAAGGCTGGTGCCAGGAGTCAGACAAGAGCCAGGTCTGCAGGCAGGGCTGGCGGGGCCGGAGGAGCCTGGGCTGTGTTCTCCACTTGGATGTGGCAAATCGCTCCCCAACCCTCTACACCAAAACATTGCTTGGTCCCCAGTGCACCCTCCCAGAAGCCCCTCCTGGGGAGTTCTCTGCCAGCCAGGCCTCTTCTGCATGATGCTGCTATTCCCCCACTCCTTATCTCTGCACTCTCGTCCACAGAGCCTGATGGTGCAAATTTCTAACACAGCCATAGCCACAGACAGGATCTGTTCCTGCTGGTGCAAGTTCGTTTGCTGCAGTTTCATTTCATTCCACAGTTTGTTCAGTGTTCAGGAAAGAATCCAAAAGGTGATTAGCCTGTGATTGTGGCAGGCATTTCGTCTGCCCTCCTCCTAATCGCGCGCCATCCGTCCTTTCCCCTCAACACATAGAGCAGTGCACCCGTTGTAAAACTGGCTCCTATGGGGCATTCCCGGATTACAGGGTCACGGCAAAGCAGGACAGTCACTTTTTGCTTCTCCTTTTTTTGGCTTTTGGGAGAACTTTCTTTTTTCTTTTAAGATTTATTTTTTATTAAAAAGGAGGATATACAGAGAGCAGGAGATACAGAGAAAAAGCTTTTCCATCCGCCGGTTCACTCCCCATGTGGCCGCAATGGGCCAGAGCTAAGCTGATCTGAAGCCAGGAACTTCCAGGTCTCCCACCAGGGTGCAAGGTCCCAAGGCTTTGGGCCATCCTCCACTGCTTTCCCAGGCCACAACCCGGGAGCCATATGGGAAGTGGGGCAGCTGGGATACAATCCAATACCCATATGGAATCTGGCAGATGCAAGTAAAGGATTTAGCCACTAGGCTATCACACGAGCCCTTGGGAGAGCTTTCTTTCTAAGGACTCACCTTGACCCTAAGTCACTGGACAACTGGTGACAAGGTTTGTTTGAACTTGCTTGGTTGGTTTGCAAGCGACACGTTCCTTACAGAAGAATGTCAGCTCGTCTTTCCTGAACAGTCATCTTTTAGACTGTTTGGAATATTTGATTGGCAGATACAGTATGTCCTTGAAGCTTTCAGAGGATGTCTGGTTTTTATTTTGGTTGTGACTGATGAGACCCAAGACATTGCACAAGCACCCAGGGACATTGATTGGGATGTTCTTGTCTATGGTGTGCGAGGATATAAAGGATCGGGTTGGAAGATGTCACCCAGGTCTCCAGTTATTTTAAATGTTTGCCAGTCTGAACTATGGGCGATGAACTGTTCTCAACTACAGTCATGTTGGCTGGCTGATACTGTTGTCAGAGACTCTAAGGACGGTCATTGTCATTAGACCCCTAACACCTGTGATTCTTTTTGTTTGTTTTTGTTCTTGGGCAAGATTGGCTTTTACTTAGGGGTATTTTAGAAATGGTTTTACATGAATATTAGTAGTGAGTTGGGATTTTTAAAAAAATGTTTGTGTTTGTTTGGAGGATATGGTTCAATGTTCAATTCTCTTTTTGCCTGACCTCACTCTCAGGAAGTTTTGCCTAAGGTGAGTAGAGAAGGAGTTTGCAGATGCCCAGATCTAGAGATACAGCTGCTGGACCCAGGCACAGATTCCATGCTAATGAGAAAAGACTTCCAGGTTTCTGTGACTTTGTATAGCAGTACCAGGCATCTGGGAAGTGTGTTGGCTCCTAGCCTGTTGTGGCTGAGGTTTTGTTTTAACTGTAACAAGTTTTCATTCTTTAAAAGTCCCTCCTCCTGTCCTGGGGGCTTTACTTGCAAGCCCCCAGCCAGCACCTCTGGAGTGCTCACCTTACAGTGCCCTACTCACAAAGGCAAGTCCTCGCCTGTTGGCTGACAGCCTTCTCCCTGGGAATAGACTCTAGTTTGTGGAGCCTGGCAGCCCTCCTGCTCTGGGCTATTGCTCTAAGGGGCAGAAGCTTTTGAAAACTCTTGCGTTTGTCTTCTGTTCACCCTCTTACCCCTCCCTCCCCCCCACCCCACCCCCGCCATTCCCTTCCTCCTGCCCCTCCTCCTGGATTAGCAAACTCTCTCCACTGGGCCCCTGTGCCCTGGTCTCCCAAGGCCTTGGGAGCTGCCTTGAGAGTAGATAGGCCTGCAGCTTTCACTAGGTTGCTGGCTTTCCATCCCTGCAGCCTGACTTGCTGGACTGTCATTGGCCCACTCTCCAGGATGGCTCCTGGTCCTTGTGTTTTTCACAGACCACCCCACCCCCAGCCACCCGTCACTGGGATATTAGTCCAGGAACGAGGAGGCAACTCCATTTTCCTCTCATATTTATTTCCCAAAATGTCCTGGGGGAGCACTTGCCCATTTGGCACACTACATAAGCTAGGCTATATAAAGATAGATGACAGATAAGCTTTCTGAATCTGTTAAACCATGTGAAGCAGTTGAGTGAGGGTTTTTTGTTTAAAGGGTTATTATTGTTACAGGGGAACTGGGAGGAAATCATGCAGTTAACACAGATCTGCAGGGTCAATGGTAAAAAGATGTACAGTTTTAATTGTTAGAATGCTTTGTAGGTTTGGAATCTTTGTGTATTATTTGCTCAAAAAAAGTTACTTGTGGTCATTTGGACGTTAAATGGGCTGGGTATGCTTATACATCCAAAAAAAAAAAAAAGGTGTTTTTCCTTTTCCTAGAAGTGCCTGTTTGATTGTCTTCCTTTGGATTCCACTTTAACAAATTCTTCCCGGTCTCATTTGGTTCTGGGAGGTTCCTGATGTGAAGGCCTCTTCTGGTATAATCCCTTGGGGTGCAAGTTATGTGAGTATTGAGTCATCCAAAGACAGCTGATCTTGATGTCCCAAGGGGCCACCACTGGTTCGGGGGTGTGTGGGGCGAGTGGTGGTGGAGGCGAGAGGCTCCTGGGACAGCTGTCAAGTGCAGCAGCCCCGGGTGGGCAAGGCTGGAAGAGTTTACACAGTTTGCTTATGAGCTCGTCCTGGCTGCTGGGGCTAGGAGGAATACAGCCATGGGCCTCGATGTGACTTCTTTCACTTGGACCTCACTGTGAACACAGAACTAAGGACACCATTGCACACTGCCAAGTGCCTTGTCAAGACATTTCTGCATGTTTTAAAAATACGTATTTTTATACACAAAATTCCAGGGGAAATGCACTTTAAGAATCACAAGAATGGATGGGTTCGTTTGTTTTGTTTTTGGTGTGGTATCAGAGAATGGCTGGTTTGTATTGCCAAAGCGAAAATGTGTAAAAATAAAAGTAGAAAACAAATCAGAACTGAAACTGCTGCTGTCATTCTATTCTTAGAAGCAGAAGGGTAGTGGTCATGCAAACTTGAGGGCTCTGAAGAGGCCAATCAGTCACTGAGTTAAAGCTGCAGAGCCCAGGGACCAGGAGCTCACTGCTTTCCAGATGACCTTGGCAATGAAGGCTGCTGTGTGCAGGGGAAGAAGTACAAGGGCTGATGCTGTCCCACACCCACTTTTTAAGAATTCCTGTTTATTTATTTATTTAAAAGAGTGACCTCCTATCTGCTGGTTCTCTCCCTGAACGTCAGAGGATCAGTGTCACTGTCCTGCAGTGATGGACTTGGTGCACGAAGCCGATAATAACATGCGTGGACTCTGACTGATGGTCAAAAACCGAAGTTTATCAGTGGCATCAGATTTTATACACTGAGGGAAATATAGGATAAGGGAGAAAGTATTGATCTTATCAAAACCCATCAACTGTTTCTGTACTTTTGTTTGGAACTCCTTTTGTTTTATATATTCCACCAAATGTTCTCATTCACATGCTGTCCACTCAACTGTTCTCATACAAATGATATCCAACCAGTTATACAAAAGGTATCCATTCGGTTGTTCTCATACAAATATTATCCAATCAGTTGTGATCCTGAGTTTGTTGACCTTCCAGGGTCATAATGTCCTTCTACAGACCAGTTACTTGAACCATCCTAATAACTTGTAGGTTGAATACCTATCCCTTCACACACATGGGTGGTTTTTTTTAAAACTTACTTGCATTTTGTTGGAAGGACAGAGGGACATGGAGCAAGAGACACAGGGAGACAGATGAATAGCTCTTCCACTGGCTGGTTCACTTCCCAAATGTCCAGAGCTCCATCAGGATCACTCCGGTGGGGAATAGGAATCCAAGTATTTTGAGTCATCACCTGTTGCTACCAGGGTATGCATTAGCAGGAAGCCGGAAACCAAGTTGAGAGGCACTGCGATAGGGGTGGCAGATGTTCTATGTATAGACTTCAGATGCTGCAACAAAGATCCTCCCTGCACCCATTTTGAAAGCGCCAAGGCCACAGCCTTCCATTATCCTCTCACATGCGCTTCTGGTGTAGAGCATGGAAGAATCAGATTAATCAGCAGAAACTGTTAGTGACTGCTGCACAGCTTTTACCTCCCAAGTCAGGCAAGCTGTAGCTCATCAAAAAACCCATGATAGGATACCTCTCCATGGGGCAGCACCGTTGGCTGGAAGGAAGATTTCCAGAGAGGCTTGGTTCACAGGCCAGAGGCAGGGATGGAGGGTGAGGTAGACACGTTTAGCACCAAGATCAGCCACAACGGCCCAGCATGGCAAGAGTAACTTAGCATTGGCAGCTCTAAGGAACAAATGCAAAAGGTGAGCTCCTAGGCCAGCACCCTGACTCAACTGGCTAATCTTCCACCTGCAAGCCCCAGCAACCCATATGGGTACCAGTTCATGTCCCAGCTGCTCTACTTCCCATCCAGCTCCCTGCCTGTGGCCTGGGAAAACAATCAAGGACAGCCCAAAGCCTTGGGTCTGTGAACCCATGTGGGAGACCCAGAAGAAGTTCCTAGCTTCAGATCAGTGCAGCTCTGGCCATTGCAGACATTTGGAGAGTAAACCCATGGGTGAAAGATCTTTCTGTCTCTCCTCTTTCTGTAAATCTGTCTTTCCAATAAAAATAAGTAAATCTTAAAAAAAAAAAGTGAGCTTCCCCAGGTGACTGTTTTCCAATTCTTAAAAAAATAGAAGCAGGCAAGGTGGCACAGCCAGATAATCTTCCACCTGTGGTACCAGCATCCCAGATGGTTCCAGTTTGAGTCCCAGTGGACCAACTTCTGATACAACTCGCTGCTAATGGCCTTAGAAGGCAGTGGAGGCCCAAGTCCCTGGGTCCATGAATCCATGTTGAATTCCTGAAGGAAATTCCTGGTTCCCAGCTTTGGACCAGCCCAGCTGGGGAGTGAACCATAGGACAGAAGATATGTCTCTTCTCTCTCTGTAACTCTGTCAAGGAAATAAATAAATCTTCAAAACAACAACAAATTTTTAAAGGTAGAGTTACAGAGAGAAAAAGAGAGAAAAAGGAGAGATCTTCTATCCACTGATTAATTCCCTTGGTTGAAGCCAAGAGCCAGAAACTCTAGCCGGGTCTCCCACCTGAGTGGCAGGGGCCCAAGCCCTTGGGCCATCCTCTGCTGCTTTTCTCAGGCACTTTTGCAGGGTGTTGGAGGGACAGCAGAGATCCTGGACAGGACCTGGCAGACAGACAGGATGTTGGCACTGCAGTGCCATTCCCTTCTCGCCAGTCTTTTAAAACACGCCTGTAG